CACCTTCCCCCGAGATTAACCCTGTCCCGAGCAGGAACCGCTTTTTATCTTCAACACAGCGCGTCTCCCCCACCTTCCTCTCCCATCCTCTGCGGGGAAGGGTGGGGGGCACACTAAATTCCTCCAGCCCTCCTCATCCATCTCCCTTTTTGCCTCTTTGCCCTCCTGGGGGGGACACACTTCAGATGCCCGGGCTATCATGGTGATGAGCTACGAGGTTTTGGGGGCTCTGAAGGGCCTGAAAAGGTGGAGAACTCCCACAGAGCAGGTTCAGGGTGTCAACGCGTGTTGAAGGAGCAGCTCTGCCCTTCTTCCCCCCCGCCAGGGTTGGGGGACGCAGCAGCATAGCTCAGGGCTGGCGAGGGGTGATGGGGCAGCGGGTAAGGAACCACCTTTCACAGCATCGCCCGGCTCTGATGGGCTCCTTGGTTTGAGGGTTGTGGATTTTCTTGAGTCATATGCCCCCCTCACCCCAGCACCTAAATCAGCCCTTCTAGGGGGAGCCCTGACGAGGGTGAAGATTTTGGCAAAGGGGATGCCAGGACCTAGGGGTCACTCTCCTCCTCTTCCTTAGCTTCAGGCAGTGGGGAAGGAGTGGAGGGGAAAGAGGAGTCTATGCGCCGCGTTGTGTCCCCCCCATTCCCACGGGGTGTCCTCTCCTTCTCCCCTTTCCCAGATCATCCTGAACTCCATGCACAAGTACCAGCCCCGGCTCCACATCGTCAAAGCGGACGAGAACAACGGCTTTGGCTCCAAGAACACGGCCTTCTGCACCCACGTCTTCCCGGAGACCGCCTTCATCGCTGTCACCTCCTACCAAAACCACAAGGTGAGGGGCTGGGCCGGCCCGCGCGCTGGCAAACCGCGCCCCGCCTCCCCCCGTCGCCTTCTCCTCCTGAGGGCCTGGGCTCCGCTTTCGCTTTCTTCACCCCGCTTCTTATGCCCCCCTCTTTTCCTTCCTTCCCCCCCTTCCCCTCCTTATTTTCCCTTTTTCCCTTATTTTCCTATTTTTCTTCTTATTTTCTCCTTTTTCCTCCCTTTTCTTATTTTTCCTTTTTTCCTCTTCTTTTACTTCCCCCTTCTTCTTTTCCTTCCCCTCCCTTTCTTTCCCCCTTTCTTTCCTCCTTTCTTTCCCCCTTTCTTTCCCCCACTTCTTCTTCTTTCTTTCCCCCCGCTGCTTCTTCTTTACCCCTCTTCCCCTTTTCTCTCATCACGCACCTACCCCATCCCATCCCCTCTGCTATTCCTGCCATCCCACACAAAGCATCTAAAGTTGGGGCTCAGGACAGCTAAGAGGGAGTCAACTGGGCAGGACAGTTTGCTCAGAGAGGAGATGACCAACCAAGGAAGTTGGCTTTATCTTCTTTTCCCCCTCCATCACTCAAAGCCTCGTAATCTAGAGCAGGGAGCCCTGGGGTCCCCTCCGTGGCTGGGGCGCCGATAACCCAGCCTGCGGTCCCTTTGTTCAGGCAGGGCGGTGGGGGGCTTCAGGCTTGGCAGCGAGGAGGCCCTGGAAGGAAAGGGAGGCTCTGCGCTTGAGATCAGCTCCCTGCCTGCCCAAGCAAAACAAAGCAAAAAAAAATCCTAAAAATCAAATAAGGTTTTCTTCAGGGTGCCTCTCTCTAGGGCAGAGCCCTATGAGAAGCCTATTTACCTTTCAGGAGAAAAAAACCAAATTCATGCCTCAGTTGCATAGAAACAGATTACTGCAAGCTTTTACTGGTCCTTACAAACAGGTAGGATAGCCCTTTTGCACTTGACAGAGTGAAATAATTGTTTCTCAAATGGAGAAAGGTCATTTAACATCCAGATGAATCGTGGATGCTTTCCTGGAGATGTAAATAGGAAGCTCCGAAACCTGTGTGAAACGATTGCATTTCCTCTGTCCATCAGCTGGCAAGGGAGACGCAGAGAGCGGAGGTAGGCCGGAGAAGAAAGTGTGTTTCCCCATAACTAGGGAGAAAAGAAAATACTTCCCTGCCCTTTAAAATAGGAGCTGTTGGCACAGCCAGAACAAGTAAACCGAATCCAAATTGAGACCTTGCCAAATCATGCCTTAAATTATAACTCCGCTGTGGATGCTATAAAATCAAGTTTAACTGCTGCTTGATGGATTCTGAAAAAGAATATAATATTAATAGAACTGGTAGTTAATAAAACAGGACACACTGCTCACTTTAAAGGCATTTCCCTATGAGAAAACAGACCTGAATTTAACTGCTTTCCTTTCAAGAAAAATAGGACTGTTTTATAGACCAAAAATTATCATGCAAATCAAACAAAAGCAAAGCAGAAACATGTAAGTACAGTAGTTTGGGAAAACTGCCATATTAGGAGGAGCAGGAATATTTGATTGTAAATCAACAACATCTGGTTGATAAGGAATGACATCTGCGTATCCGTCTCTGTCAAAACACGCGCACTGACAAATGCAGGAATCCCGACAGACACACGCGCTAGCATCCCAGCAGACACATGCACCCGCACGCAGACACCACTACATATTTTACACACCCTCCTACACGTTTTACATACATTTAACATCCCACCCCCCTTCCCCAACACACGCATTCCTTTTCTTGCTGCACTGAATCATTGGGGGAACAAATAAAGAGTGGCTGTAACCCCAAGATAAAGACCCAACCAAGAATGATAGAGCAGTAAAAATAAACCAGGGAATGATCTACCCTAAATGGCATCTCTCTCCAGGGAAGGAAATAAAATCTGTAGCTTGCTCCAGTGCAGATGGAGAGTAGTAGTGGGGCTGGGGTGGCATGGATGCTGTTAAACAGAGTGAGAGTCCTCAGCCAAGCCAAGCAGCACGCGGGGTCTTTTCCACGGGCAGAAACCCCAGTTCAGCTTTCACAGCTGAGACGTTGCTCATATGTTCATGTAGCAACTCAGACTGCATCGCCTGTTGCCATAAACGATGGCAGTCCCACCGCTCTGTCTGACTGCAGCTCCCCAGGGAGGCTCTGCCTATCCAGCCCCATGTCTCTTTGTCAGGGCATTTTTACCTATTTTTTTTCTCCATTTACAGACACCTCTCATTTCCACTCATCACCTGTAGCACATCCTTCATGTAAACTTTCTTACCGTCACAATCATGCCAACATAATTTACACATAGGTTTTTATACATCCATGTATTTTACACACATACACAAATTTATACATGCATGTGTTTTAGATTTCAAGAGCTATGTTCTAGGTGAATTATCTTACAGAATTAATTGTATGACTTGCCCATAAACGCAGTTGAATCTATGCTTATAGAAATACCTGCCTGATTTCAGATCTCTCAATTTGTTTCAATAGCACAGCTGCAATCCCAGCGTAGGGCTTGTGCTTATTTCCCCTGATATTTCAGACAGCCTGCAAAGATATTTAAGCACACTGAGATCTCCCCCTCCACAGTCCTACTCCCCAAAAGGAGGCTTAAGCTACGGAGAAAGTTTTGGTAAAGTTTTCAGTGTGGTTGTCAGCAGCTTGGTCAACCACCTCCCCCCTCTCTGCAACCTTGAAAAAAATAACCCAGAAATATTGAGGTGTTAAAATAGGTCACATGCACATTTCATTTCCTTGCCATTTACACAATGGGTGCTTGCAATCAGGTTGATTCCCAAATATTAACTTCCCCTGCAGTTAAATACCATTTTGCTGTAGCTTAAATCATTGTGTTACTAGCTTGTATTTATTAGGTACTAGCTCTTTGCTTAGGACCAGGAAATGAACCCTAATAGACAGAAATAATTAGGGTTCTGCCCTCATGAGGGTTTTTTCAAAAGCAAGAATTCACAACAATTATTCTCATTAATTTTTACAACCTACTTTCCCTGTTAGCTGGACTTGGGCTTTATATTGGTTTTTTCCCCTCAGGATATCCGGTTTTACATTGATTTTTTTTCCCCCTAAGTTATTTAACATTCTTGGTAGCCCAAATTATTTTGAAGGAAGCATTAGACCCAGCTGGGATGCTATAGGTACCTAGAGATGCTGTGTGCTCCATAGCAGTGCAGAGAACCAGGGAAGGGCCTGGCTGAAGACTGATCTGATGTACTCCCAGGTAGCCAGTGGACATAGATAAATGTAGATAAAAGATAAAAGCATAGATAAAAGCTGGTAGGCTTCCTAAGTAGTTAGGTTCATCCCACCCCTAGAAAGACCTGAAATACTGAAAGAATGCTGTTAAGTCTGTCAAGTCAACTGGTGCTCCATACTGCTAAATTTTGGAGAGGTGCCCATGTGGCTTCCTTGAAAGCACATGGACTTTTGCCACTCTGTTGGGGCATCTCACAGGGTTGTGTAGTGGCTGCTGGAGGCAGGCACATCCTTAGGCTCAGGATGGTTTTCCCTGAGAGCTCAGATAGCCTTGGTTCTTGTTGCAGGTAGCTACCTCAGTCACTTTGGTATAGGGCTACCAGCATGGTGGCCTGGTTGGCATCCCATGGAGTGCCTCTGTGCAGAGTTTGGACCCGGTTCGGTCTCCTGAAACAGCCCTACAGGGCTGTGTGACCCAAACTCTCTCTGCCCAGCTTGGGCCATCAGCCCCATGTCTTCCCACCTCCATGGCAAGAAGGGGCAGCCACTCAGGGCAGGCTCCTCTCCAAAGGGGCGTCCCCTGAGCACTGAGAGAGGCAGGGTTAAGCTCCCTGGGGTTAAGCGAGGTGAGAGCATGTATCTCCTCTCATTGCCAGAACTGGTGGCTTCTGTGCAGCCCTTGGTCACTTGGGGACTCCAGTGAGCTCTTCTCCATGACCCTCACTGGGGCCGCTCATGTCTACTCTCAAAAGCTTAGTCCTGTTTCAGACTTTGGTGGGCAAGTGCTTCCTTCAAGAGGTCTGGTGTCTTTCACAACCTGTGTCTGAACCAGTCCTGTCTCCCTCTGCCCCTTTGTGCTCAGTCTTGTCCCTGCCAGCCTTGCAACAGGGTTCTCAGCCAGCCCCGATCCCCAAAGGCCCTTTTGGTTCTTGAGCCATGCCTTCTCTCCCCAGGCTCTGCAGACCACCCTATCTCTCTCCAGAATCATCCCCACCTCCTGACCCACCTCTTTCCTCCTCACCCAGCACTATGCAAGGTCTGTCTCTTCTCATCCTCTGTTCTTGTCTCCCAGTTCAGCCAATAGCCTCCTCAATGAGCCCCTCTGTTTCACACCAGCACCTCCAACCAGCCACTGGCTCTCAGTCCCTCCCATTTCCTTCACTGGCTTCTTGGTTCTGCACCTTCTCC